ACACACACAGTGGGATTCACAATTAGGCTGAGTCAGGATGCAGGGCTTGATTGAAGACAAAGTCTGCTAACTAGACGACGCACTAAAAGAGGGAAAGAGACAAGCTGGAACATGAACTGGTCCTGGGTGAACAGCAAGGGTCCAGAAGCCCCTGTCCCATCATGTCTGTTCCTCTGTTTGTCCACCACACACACACACACGCACACACACACACACAAACTATTTATGATATTTGAATTATTTGAATTAAAAGTCCCAACCAAAGGTTAAGGGAAAGAGATATTCATCCAAACCTCATCATATTGGTTTGTCAAAGTGACTTTAATTGCAACTGACTCAGCCCTTCTCTCATCCTCTTTACTCTCTTATTCTGAAACAGGAAGTTTCTACCATTGTGTTTGGAGACACAACTGACACTGTCAACTTGTAGCCTCAGCTGCAAAGATTTCTGCAAAACAATGCCAACTTTCAAAATAGATACTGGTACATTAAGTATACAAGGTGGATATTATCATTTTATTTAAGGTCACACTATTTAAATCACTGCTCTTTTTCAAATCAAGCAATGGAATCACGATCTCAGTATCTCAATACCTTCCTGAAGAGGTAGCAAAGGCTTTGACATTATCCCCTCAAAATGTTTTACACCTATAATTAATGGGTGGAGAAACACTACTCAAGTAGGAGAGATGTTAAAAAAAGACGTCATTAGTTGATTTTTTGGGGGGTATGGCACAGTTGTGTGTGGTAAATCAAAAATATAGCATGCCAATTAAACCATGAAATGACAAAAACGAGGCGAGGAACGAGTGTCAAAGGATGTAAATAAGCTCTTGCAGGAATTGCACTTGGTGATGTCAGCCAGTGGAAAAAAAACCCCTGCTTTAAATCTACGCTGGTCTCAAGATGAAGCTTCGAAAAGCTCAGAGGTAAAACTTTAATGACTCCCAGCCTTCAATGTTTCCAGCCTCCCGTCTATAATGAGCACAGCCAATCACAGAGCTACGTTCTTGCCACCTTTGAGAACTTGATAACAAGGGTGTCTGGTCAGTGATGCGGCAAAGATGATACAGAACTTCTCTCCATGCTGGAAAGTCATATCTCCGTCTGCTTCTGTGGCAAGAGGAACACATACGAGACTTGTTTTGTGTGATCTTATACGTTCAACGATGGATGGTTTTTCCATCAACCTCCTGGGTTTGAGAGTCTTCATTTTGTGCATAGGACTCATGGGTAATGTATTTCTCATCCTCGCCATCATTCAGACCAAGTTCACTCGAGTCAAATCCTTTGATTTGTTTCTCCTGGGACTGGCTTCAGCCAACTTGGAGGAAATTCTCATCGTGACCGTCTTTGACGTTGTCACCCTCCAGACTTCCTCCGACGGCGTCGACACCTGGTCGTGTCGCTCGCTCAAGTTCCTGACGAAGTTTGGTGAGATTGGCAGCATCCTCTTCACCGTCCTCATCAGCGTCTTCCGCCAGCAGAAGCTGAGAGATGTCAACAAGAGGGCCAGCCTCTCGATCCACCTGGACAGCATCAGGTCAGCCTGGATGGCGAGCGGGGTCTGCGTGCTGCTCGCTGCGCTGCTGAGTCTCCCCGTTTTCGTCATTGACACCGAAGGCCCTGCGGGGAACGTCACAAGAAACAGCAGCGGCTGCCTGCCGGACTTCTTCCAGTGTAGTGAAAGTTATTGCCCCGCACTCAACGGCGTGTACAAATACCTCTTCCTCCTGGTGTGCAACCTGCTGCCTCTGGCCGTCGTCACTGTAACCGGATGCCTCATCATCGCGGTGCTGCTAGGCCAAAGGGCGAAGGTGACACCGGCGCCAGGAGGCCGGAGGAGCAGAGGTTCGAATCTCCATCGAAGCACCGTAGCTGTGCTGGCAGCTATGGGGTTGTTCCAGCTGGACTGGACTCTCTATCTGATCCTCCAGCTGACTGTTAGCCCCACTGACTTTCCTTTTTGGGCTGAGGCGGAGTTCCTGATCTCATTTTCCTACACGTCCATCAGTCCGTATGTGTACGGGATCGGGATTAACCTGTTCTCTCTCAAGAACTTTAAGAAGAAGTAACTCAAAGCTTTCCTTCTGGCCGGACGTGTTTTTTTAAATTGGGATGAGCTCTTATTGTTTTTAGCGATAAAATATAATTAAGCTGAAACAAATCACGTAAGCGTTTTGCTTGCCAAGATATGCCATTTTTTAATTACGTGTTGTAAACTGAGGATGATATTATGATACTGAAGTTGCTCAGTTAGTTCAGGGAGAGAAGAGATTTATTTTTAGAAATGCTTTCATGCTCAGACATTTCATTACCTTTCTACAGCTTTGTGCAATTTTAGACCTTTGATTAAATCTAATTTTAAAAGTTACTTCGCTTCATATTTTACAAGTTTTACATATTAATATAATAAAACCTTATAGCAAAGGCCCTTTTTTATTACAAAACTATTGGAGAACTGTCATTCTTTAGGCTGTAAAACCAAATGTTTTGGCTCCTGGAGATGCTGTTTTACAGCCCGGCAGTTGGAGGAGGGCAAGCAAATCTCATGCGTTACAGAGCCAACAAAGCCTCTGCTTTGCTTATATTTCAATGCAATTATTCACATAACAGCTGCATTTGTATATAAAAACCAACATAATTAGTTTCTGCAGTACAATAACTTGTCACCTTTCTCTCTTCTCTTCAGTTTAAGCTTTTGTAACATCGCTGAAAAGATGTGTCACATATTAGTCGTGGTTTTACTGTGACCAGTTTAGTTAGATGTATTTAGATGTAGGAGATCGGAGATTGATGTTAAATCTGTATCTCAGCAAACTTTAACATTAACTTTACAGCCTCAAATTACATGATGAACCACAGAAGATACTCAATAACACCATGAGGTGCAAGTGTCTGAGGAAAGCTTCTGAGGAATTGGTCATCATTTTCCTTCCTGTCTTGTCATCTTAATTTGGGTTTTCAAATATAATCCTGACAAAATACAGATCACTTTTGTATCATGTCCATAGCCTAAACTCAAAAGCAGTCCCTTATTAACACCAGTCTTAAAGAGGCGATGATAGACTAAATATTGTGCCTGTTCATGGATTTTTTAAATTTGGTTTGACAGTTGTGACAGAAGCTCACAAAGGCCATTCAAAGTCTGTGCTCTGCTCTTTGTCTGTGCTGCCACCTCTGATTTTACATTAGTGACATTACAATTAGGTGTCTATACACTCTGTTGTTTGTTATGGAAGTAGAAAACAAAGTCACACTTACTGAAGAGTTGTTATATTACAAGAAATCTTTAGTTAAGTGTGATTTATTATGCAGCAAATATAAAGAGCCCATGGGATCTGTGTATTTGCTGCAGATATTAAAAATACTTAATCTGTCAACGTGTGGTGGTTCAATGGTAATAATGTGGGTTGTTCTATTAAAATATAAAAAATAAGTGTTATTTAGACTTAGCTGTTATATGTCTGGACCATTTTAGGCTAACGTCCTGATTTATTTATTTTTCTACCAGAAAAGAAGTTCATTATTTAAGATATTCCACATAATGTCTAATACTGTTGAAGTTGTACAGTAAATACCTTTATGTTAGACTCTTAAATAAATTGTCTGTTCCTCTGAAAACATTTCAACTTCCTGTTACTGGAAAAAATAGAAAAATGACTATGGTGTAAATTCTTAATATTTTAGTTTTTATGGGAGGTTTCGCCTCCTGCAGATTATTGTCTTAATATGACACGTGTAAAAACCTTTCCTGGCTATCAAATACATATATATTTTAAATACTTTATCAAAGCCACATAACTGCACAGGTTTTAGGATAAACTGCTGCTCCACAACAGGAACGTGGCAGCAGCATGTCGCCACAAGATCCCCACGTGGAACACAAAAGATCGGTAGGTTCACGTGGGCTTTCCCCCCCCCACTTCCTAGTACTCCTGGTTAGACTCCGCCCTGTTGTTTTAAACATCACTCCTGATGTTGACATAATTCAGCTTTTCCATTTGTGTGGGACGAACTATAACCCTATAATGGATTATAATATTTTTAGAGATGTGGTGTTGTTTGTTGTGTTTTATTTCACACATGAAAACACAAACAGCGCAGATGATATTTCACTTAATCAGCTGTTAAACCCATGTTTGCACTCATGCACAACAGCTGTTATGCACACTCGCCATATTTATTCCATGTTTTATTTCTTTAAACATGTTTACTTAACATCGAGCCATTGGAGCCCAACCCCCCTGAACTGAGCCACCTTCCTTCCATTTCGTTTGTTACTTACATTTCGACACCATTTTTGTTATTTCTCAGTCATAATATGACTTGTCAGTGTCCAGTCCAGTGTCGCCTGCAGGAGCTTTTGGTGGCAAATATGTGGAATATCTCACAAGTTTAGACATTATTTTGGGTGGATGATGTACTTCCGGTAATAGATATATTACAAACCCATAAAGGGGACATTCAGTTGCTGTCCAGCTGTCCTTAACACTACACATTTAAATTAAAGCGTATTATTTGCTATAGATTGGCTTGTTTGAGTAAAGTATTTATCATATTTCGCATTTAGCCGCCATCTTATCAGAAGAAAATAAGCCAGTTAACGTTGTTTTGCGGCTTCATTTTTTGGAAAAGGTAAACCTGAACTTATTGATTTAGAATATGCGGGTACATTTTTTAATTAATTGTCGCGAGGGGGGCATTAACTACTGCATAATACTTTTAATTTTTTTTAAGAGTCAGCGGTGTTTTGGGGTCAAAGTCTCAGACCCACCAGCACCATGATGACAGAACTGTCCGGTAAAGTCCTCGGGAGGGGAGCCTGCGCATTGGCTGCTGGAGCTCAACCGCTATGGTGAACGTGTGACGTCACCGCTCGAGAGCACGGATGTGTGTGTGTGTGTGTGTGTGTGTGTGTGTGTGTGTGTGTGTGTGAGAGCGCGAGAGGGACAGAGAGGAGAGTGTGTATTTGTATGAGAGGGTGAGAATAAGATAAGAAGTGAAGGCAATACAAAAGGAAAGGAAGATAAAAGTCCGTTCATATCAGGAATTATTTTTAAAAACGAAACGTTTTTCGCGCAAACTTGCTGAGAGTTGTCCTGCGCGCGGACTGAGCTCGAGGTGGGAGCAAAGCGAGAAAAAAAAAAAAGATCTCCGGGATGGTGGACTCCCGCTTTCCTCCTCGCGCTGGCGGCCCGGGAATCACGCGCCATTGAAAGAGAAAGAGAGAGAGAGAGAGAGAGAGAGGGGGGGGGGGGGGGATATATTGTGCATGCGCTTTGGCTTCACTTGCGTGCATGCACGGGGTCGGTCGGTCGATGCGAGCACACTTGGCGTGGCTCTCGGCCTCCATTTGCCAGTTTGTGTTCACGTTCGAGGGATTCACTCGAGGCCCCCGTTTAAACGGCGACGACGACGACGCGCAACAGTTGTGGAGTTTTTTTTACCGTAAACGTTGACGTGACGTCGCGGGCCACGAGGCTTTCTATAACCTCGACGACGGAAAGGTGAGGCGTTAGTGAAACCTGCAACTTTTCCAACTTGGTGAGTGGAGGAGCGGGCGGCCTTGTGTGTGTCTGCGCTTCTTCTTATTCTTCTTCTTTTTTCATGTTTAATGATGCAAAATAGTTACACGGGAGAACAGTTGGGAGTTTGAGCGGTAAACACGCCGGTAGCAACCGATTTAACGCCCTCGTTCGACCGGTAAACACCTTTTTAGTGCACAGCATCTGTGTGCTGGTGTGATTATTAAATTGACCCAGAGAGGGCAGGGCGTCAGGGGAACTGTTTACGTTACTAGCTCGTGCTCTGTCGTCGACGGAGGTTGATTTCACCATTTATGCACGTGCAGGTAGAAACAAAACGTCCCGTTCTGACGGTGTTATCGATACTTAAAAAACATACGGGCCTGTCCGAGCATTTCAGCCATGCATGTCCTCAGCCGTGCGAGACCAGGCAGGCTATTGGTCGGTCACACCTCGCGGAGACAAAGTCCACTTCTCTCAGTAGAGAAATTATATATTAAACTTTAAAAATAATAATACTCAAACTCCCTTTGTGTCATTTGGTACCACTAGCTCTTAGAAGAACCACGTATGAAATGGCCCGTGGCTGTAAATAAATCATAATTTTTCATCCATTAGGAGCTGATTTATTTAAGTTGCTCTGGTTTGACGCAATGAGACATCTTGACATGTGGTCTGTTGTGCTCTATATATTACAACACATTCACACAACCAGCAACGTTTACATTTTGAATAATATTTGGTTTTGACTGTACATTTAGAGCATGTTTGCCGGCAGCCGGCACAGGGAGCACTGTGGTACAACGCTGAATCTGAAAAATGATCAAATGTATATATTTATTTTAAATGTCAGTTCTTAAGGACGAAGTAAATAACACTACTACGGTTGTTTACACCCTTTTTTTTAAAGTAGAACTGCACATTTTTGGATGTATTGGCTGCTAAATTGTTTACAGTTCTTGCTTGGTATTTGCTGTAATTGCTTTTGCCTGGGTTTTATTTGGCCGCCATTTTTATCTTCTGTCTGATTTCATCCCTTATGTTTAATTAACTGCTGTGCTGTTTCGTTAACATTGTTGTAATCATACCGTTTTCTGTCAGGTATCAAATGAAGCGGGACAGCCGTTGGTGATGCCGGACACCGACTCTGAGCCCACATCGATGGAGGACCCCCATGCGTTGGAGGATGAGGAGGGGAGCTCCACTAACATCCCCTCCCCAGCTCCTCCCACGACCGTCCCGTCCTTGACTACTCTCGAGCCGACCACCTCGAAAGCCGTCTCCGTGGCAAGTAACGACTGCAGCTCGGCTCTCTCTTCGTCCGCTGAAGCTGAAGCTAGCCCAGCCAAGCCAGCCGCAACACCGCCCATTCCAACCACCACGAGACCCGATCCTTTCCCGAGCGAGACAACGATTGAGACGAAAGCCGTCTCCGTGGCAAGTAACGACTGCAGCTCGGCTCTTTCTTCGCCCGCTGAAGCTAGCCCAGCCAAGCCGGCCGCAACACCGCCCATTCCGACCACCACGAGACCCGATCCTTTCCCGATCGAGACAACAATTGAGACGAAAGCCGTCTCCGTGGCAAGTAACGACTGCAGCTCGGCTCTCTCTTCGCCCGCTGAAGCTAGCCCTGCCAAGCCGGCCGCAACACCGCCCGTTGAAACGAGCCCAGCTACCTCACGTATAGCATCGGCGTCAGACTCCCTAACAGACACGGGGTTGAGCCTCGTCAGCATATCAGAACCACCACCGCCATCGTCCCCTGTGTTGCCATCTACCACATATGGCAAACCGGGCGTGGTGAATAACTTTCCCGCGGTGCTGATCTTCAAAGGTGTGAGTGTCACTCTGGAGAACAACAGCGTGTGGAAGCAGTTCTACGGCTGTGGAACGGAGATGATTCTCACGAAACCGGGGCGCCGCATGTTCCCGTACTGCCGATATCGCCTGTCTGGTCTGGATCCAAACCGGCAGTACAGTTTGGTCCTCTCCATTGTTCCATCGGACCCGTACAGGTACCGCTGGAGCTCAACCAAATGGGAGATCACCGGACCAGCGGAGCACCAGGGCCAGGGTCTGATCCGGGCGTTTTCCCACCATTACTCACCCGGCCTGGGCTCGGAGTGGATGGGCACCTTGGTGTCGTTCTACAAACTCAAACTGACCAATCATCCTCAAGACCTCGACGGTCATATAATCCTAAACTCCATGCATCGATACATTCCTCGGCTACATGTGATACCCGTCCCGGACGGGGACATAGCCACGCCAGCCCAGCCGGTGGTTGTGGGACCAGAGAGCATGACTTTCACTTTTCCGCAAACAGAGTTCATGGCCGTGACGACTTATCAGAACTTTCGGATCACCCAGCTGAAAATTAATCACAATCCGTTCGCGAAAGGCTTCCGGGAGGACGGGAACAACACCCGGCTGATCCGGGTCGCTACTGAGGCTCCACCTGTGCTGCTGACGGACACTCGGCCTCCTGTTTCAACACCTGCTGAACCCAACGAGAAGAAGGAGGAGGAGGAGGAGGTTGTGGATCTGAGGTGAGTCTATATCTAGTTTTTATTTATTTGTTCTGTATGCAACACATTGATGTACACTTCTTAATATTCACAAATGACGGGTTATTACCGTTTAATCACAGAGGTCGTCCTCTCTCGTGGTAACATTTACAGACTCTTTATCCAGGAAGTGACACGTCTTTAGAGGGAGACCCAGCAGAACAATCCAAGGAGCTTTTTTTTAATTTATTTATATAAAACGGCTAAGCTCCTTGACGTGATCTGTCTTTTCATCGACAGAAGATGAATATAATTCCTTTTTACTCTCTGTGACATTTTAACCAGAGAGGTGATGGAGCTATTATCTATCTTGTTTTCTCTGAATAGAAGATGAAATCTGTGGAGTTTGCAGATAAAGCCGGTGTTAAAACAGTTAATAGCTTCATGCCAGTCATCCTCTCGAAGTGTTTCTAATGTTTTACCCTTTTACAGAGGAACCCATTTCAATATAATGCAGTACAACAACTGTAATAAAGATATAGTTGAAGTTTTAAAGAAAACTGTCCATTATAAACTTAATAAATGCAGAATATTTGACAGAGCTGTTGCACTGGATTGCATTCGATTTCTTTAGGTGTACCTAATAAAGTGGCCATGAAGTGTATCTACATTTGGTATTTGACTATGTGCAACTTTTGGAAAAGCTTTCACAACCAAAAATAATTCATTCACGATGCTTTTTTTCTTGCAAAGTTTTGTATTTTAATGTTTGTTAACAGGATGTTGTCAGACTGGCTGTTTTAGTTCAGTTTATTTGACATCCCCGCTAGCCGCAGAATATTAACAAACATTTATACACACGGACCAGATGCACTGTGTTTAGTGTTTGTTTTACCTCACCTGTACATGAGGCTTTTTAAAAAGAAACATGAGGGGAAATGCAGCCACAAAGATGTACACCAAAATATATACTAAAAGCAATCCTCTTGTTATAACTGTGGTATACAAACAAAGTCTTCAAAGTAACCTAAACCCAATTGTGCAGCTATGTAGCATGTTGAGGATAAATTCTGTCGGGTCACTTTAAGAAACCACCATATTTACAGTGGATGGATAGAATAACTAACATCTTTACACACGATGAAGTCCAGCGCAGTGTTTCAGGGCAATCTGAAAACATGACTTTTGCTTAACAAGAACAACACCTCAAAAGTGTTTTGAACTCACAACTAAAATTATGGAGTTTCAAAGTCAGCGTTTATTGCGGGGCTGTTGTATTGGATCGCGTTACAGAGATCCGGTTTGGCCGATCGTCTGTCACCGATGGCTGAAAGTCATCAATCACTAAGCCTGACATTGTGTCTTTCTTCCAACCTTTGTTACCCATGACAGGTTTAGGATTTGGGGCATGTTAGACTCTAAACATGTTACGCAACAACGCGTACACAGACATACGCTGGGGAAACGGGTGGTCTTACATCAGTTAAACTGCTGGAATCACCTAATGAGATCATCAGAAACATCCTTTTTCACTGTCTTACAGCACAAAGACTCCCGCCGTCTCTGCTTCTCTCTCAAATGAGCAAAGGACCCGACTGGTCCTGAAGCCCATCATGTCTACTACCTCCTCCACCAAGGACGACCCGTACGTCCACTGTCTAAGAGGCAAGCAAGCCCTCGGTGAGCTCGTGCTTGTCCAAAATCACCGTCCGCTTGTCGAGCCCAAAGAAGAACCTCAGGCTGCCGTAGCCATCGCTCCCGCTACCTCCACACCGACCCCGGGATCGTCACCCGGGTACCACAAGAGGAGGAAGAGGATCAACAGACATTGGTCCAATTCGCGGGGAAGAGACTGGAAAGCTGCAGCTGCTGCTGCCCCCCCCACGGTATTCCACAGCCCATCATTGACTGTCGCTATGCAACCAGAGCTGGATGATGTAGAGGGCCTGCTGTTTGTGTCGTTTACCTCGAAGGTAAAACCGTAGAAAATTTAGTGGAACGCCTCAAATGACTGCAAAGGTTGCTCTGCACTTATCTGATGATGTGGGCTTGTCGTTGAATACCAGAGTGATTCTGGGTGCGTGGTAGTACAAGTTTCAGGGTGTTTTAAAGCTTTTATTGTCTTTAAATGTGACAGGAAGCTCTTGAGGTTCACGTCGGGGACAAGCCAGCCAATAGCACACCAGCAGCATCCCCAATATCCCCATTGACACCGGTGCAGTGGAAGGAAAAAGGTAAGCAATGCAAAGACCTCTTTCATGTGGCTCACATCTGAGCTGTTATACTGTGGATGTTATACCTATGTTATGAAACTCGTGCATTAACCTCTTGTCACCTCATTTGACTAACACTGAATCAAATGTCATGTGCATGACCCTCTGAAAACATCACAGCGGACATGATTCCAGAGACTGATGAGGAGAAGATTGCCCGCTTGGAGGCCACCCTGCTGCAGGACCTCCAGGTTCTCAAACACAGACAAGTCATCCATCCTGTGCTGCAGGAGGGTGAGTTCATACAGACACACATAAACATCCCAGCGGTTACGTAGACTAGCCAAAGTGATAAAGTGTTGATACTTTTTGTTTTCTAGTGGGCATGAAGTTGAGCTCCTTGGACCCGATGAAGTCCATCGACCTGCAGTATCTCAGGGTTCATCTGCCACTTCCTCCCCCAAACCTGCCAGAAGAAAGCAAGGCCGGGGCTCTGTCTCCTGCTGGTAAGTTGGACTGATCTTTGACAGTTTGAGAATGTTTATCGAAGGTACGTTCGGCCGGGGCGAGTTGTCGACGTCATTGATAACAAATTTATGTAGATTTGTGTAAATGTGTGTTGGAAGAAGAAATTGAGAAACTCGTGTTCTGCTGCAGCGCTTAAACCATAAACACTTAAACATTGACTATTGTTGTGCTGATTCCTTCACAGATAAAGAGTTCACGTCCTTCATGTCACGGACAGGAAAGACAAGTGATATGACAAAAATAAAGGGATGGAGAAACAAGTTCATAAGAAACAAAGAAACGTCTCCTTCTAACTGTGACGGTAAGCTTCTTGTTGTAGCTACAGTGTCTCTTTTATCATGCAACGGGACTAATTACCAAGTGATTGACTGTACTGAAACCAACCGCATGTACTCGTGTCTGATTCCTCCTTCCTTTAGTGGATGGATTAAAGGGTCTTCGTCCGTCCTCTCCTAAAGGATCACAGAAGAACCTTTCTGCGTTCTGCAGCAACATGTTGGACGAGTACTTGGAGAGCGAAGCTCAGTACATCAGTGAGCGAGCCGCGGCCTTCTCCACAAACTGTGAGGACTCTGTGGCCTATCGGCTGCCTGTCAAAAGCTCCAGCTACGTAAAGACCCTGGACAGCGTACTCAAGCATCGAAAAGCTGCTTCCAAATTCCCCCTGGGGGCCAACAGACCCTGCCCGCTGTCCCACAAACCCCTCCTGTACTCTGCCCTGGCGTCGCCGGCTCTTCCTCTGGCCAGCCCCAAGACCCCTGTTCAGGCTGGAGTCCGGTCCACACACCCGCCTGCGTCCTCGCAGCCGCCTGGGTCTTCACACACTCGGCCAGCAGCACAGAGGTACACGTGTGTTTGTAATTTCACTTCCAGGGAATAACCTATTGATTAGTTTCTCCTTTGGTGTATAAAACATCAGAAATTAGTCCATCATAGTGTCCTGAAGTGACATTTTGAAGACTACGGAGACGTCTTCACATTGCTTTTTTGTCCAACCAACAGTTAATCCAAAAAGTTGATGATAAAGAAAGAAAGAAATCTTCACTTTTGAGAAGCTCGTACCATCAAAATGTTTGTTATTTTTGCCCCAAACTATTTATTTTCTTTCAGTCAACTGATCTATTATATCGTCTAATATTTAAGTTTTCTTTTCCAGTGAACCCATGAGTCCTTTAAAAAGTAATATCATGACGGAGTCAGCCACAGTGTTGTTGAAATGTTTATCTGATGACATGAATATGAAATAGCTAGAGACGTACATTTTACACAATTCGTTTTCTACCATTAGTTTCCACTTGTAGCACAAATGCTAGTTTTACTGGTTATTAATTTCCTCACTTTCAGATGTCTTAAATTCTAGGACAGTGGTGACCCATGAGCATATGTTTTTTTTTTTATATGTACTTATAAGTGTGAATGTTGCAAAATACATATTGTTAAAATTAAGCTTTTAGAGGGCTTCTTTCTGTTTGACTGCTCCTTTTAATCCTGCTATAGTATTTTAATCAGATCGTCCTGCCTCTTCAGATTATCCGCGTACCTGCCAGGACTCGGCCAGAGGCCCGCGGTGAGCTTTGGGCAGAGCCCGGCGATGACACACAGACCTTCAGGCCTCACTAAGTTCCAGCGCAGACTGATGCAGATGGAGCACGGAGCCGTGAACCAGGGTCTGAGCAGGACTCATCTCACTACAGAACGACTGTCGGTGGCTCTGGCTGGTTTGCTGACTAAACAGGTGTGCAACATACTGAACAAGTGTTCTCTCGAAGGGTCCGTTTACTGTGTCATTTGATATTAACGATGAGGCTGACTTGCTTTAAATGTCATGTAAATTGGTGAAACGGAGCTCCGACAACAGGAGTTTTGGGCCGATTTAACCCCGATTCACCGCGGAGGGGGATTCTGGTCCGGGACTTGACAGACTCGTACTTTTAATTCCACCGTATGGCCACCATGTCAAATTAGCTTCAAAGCCCTGCGCTCTTCCAGGGGGCTTCGTGCCGCCCAGATAATTTCAAACACTTAAAATCTGGATGATATCGTCAATACATCCGAGCGGGGCCATAATAACCAACGAGAGAGACGAGCTGGGGCAGCTGACATTGTTTCCAAGCAACGTGTAAATGTTCTTACCCTTGAGGCTAATGTTGGCTAACACACTTCTGTTGACAGATATTAAAACTGCCAGTTAGAATCTCACCTTCAGTTCTCGCTGCAGAATAGACCACCTGTGTTGACCGCGTCTCTTTTTCTCATCCAGACTCGTTCAGCCTTCTGCTTTCTGTTTGTTTTTCTCACTGCAGAGGATTACTACAGCAAGTTGTAGCACAGCGTCAGTCTCTGTTTCATTTACATCTGCTTCCTCGTGAGATCTCGGGAGGTGGTGCGTTGCTCCCTCTGGCACGATAATCTTGATAATATCCTCTAATGTGTGATGTGCCATTATTTTCAAATCTTGTAGTGTGTGTATGTTTGAGATTAGAGAGAAGAATGTGTGTGTGTGTGTGTGTGTGTGTGTGTGTGTGTGTGTGTGTGTGTGAAGCAACCACATTTTAAAAGTGGTTAGGATTTAAAACTCCTGTACTCTGAGCGTGGCTTAAGTAAGAGGACAACAATGCTCACAACATACACACAAATCGACACGTCATACACACATTTGAAATAGTTTTGATGTCTCTCCTCTTCCTTTTTGATCAGATGCTGCCCAGTCAGGTCTGGAAAGTAACCAAGTATCCAACGTATAAACCGACGGGACCTGAATGCGGTCAGGAGTTCTGCACGCTGGGCTGCGTGTGTTCGAGTCTCCAGCATCTGAACAGAGCTCCCTTCCACTGCCGGCGGCCTGAATGCATGTTCGGCTGCGCCTGCTTCAAACGCAAGATCATCAAGCAGTTGAGCGCGGGGGAGAAAGAAGAGCTGATCCAACCTGTTTACTGTAAGATCAAGTTATTCTGATACCCTCTGTTCTTTGTGGCTCTACGATTGTGGTTTCAGGATGAATAGACTTAATACCTACATATCTGTTTTTATCACTGAACTCTCGTACATTTTGAGGAGATTTATGTAGCTTTTGTTTCCCGCTCAGTTTGGTTGCCAACCCTCTGTAACTCAGAAGTGTCAATGAGATGCTTTTATCCCTCCCCAGCTATGACTAATATGGAACATATGGTCCAGCCTCGCCCGGGCTCTCATGCTAATAGACTGTGGAACCGCAGCACTCACGAAGTGGATCCTGAACCACTCTTCATCCCCAAAACTGTTCCACCGTGTCTGGCTCCTGGAAAGAAACGCACCAGTGGAGCTCGACTAACACAACCGGTAAAATACATTATTATTAAATCTTATTGATGACACTTTGGAACTAAAAGTATTTGATTCATGCATTACACTGTTTTTTCCCTTTTTGTTATTTACAACCAAAATGAAAATCATTGCAGATTCGAGAAGAGGATAAGGATCCGGTGTATAAATACTTGGAGAGCATGATGACGTGTGCGCGCGTAAGGGAGTTCAACAGCAAGCCTCCCCCTGAACTCAGCATTGAGCCCAAGATCCTTGATGTTTCTGCACTAATCACAACAGCAAAACAACAGAAAACGACCACTGATGACCTGCCCAAAAAGCCCCACAGTGCTCGACTGGTTACAAAAGCAGGTACAGAAACAAAGATTATGTAATAAGTGTACTGAAATCCTTAAATCCTCGTTCTTTTGTGTTTGTTTTTGGTTTCCTACCCTGTGACAGTGTGATATTGAAGATATTCTGCTATTTGTTGGTAAACACAACCACGTTGATTATGTTGCCCGGCAGGAAGGGTCTCTGAGGGAATCGCAGCCGGTGAAAAAGAAGCGAAAAAGCAAATCGAGATCCAGTCGGCGTGTAAGTGGGTAAAGGACCGCAAAATGGTCCTGGAAGCTTTATGTCAGCGCATGAATCAGAATAGACTGTCTCGACGCTTCTGGGTAGGACCGTACCGCATCCACCCGGTCGCCAAGATCTTCATGAAGAAGCCCAGCGGCTCCTTTGTCACCTACAGGGTGAGTCTCTGAGGAGCAATGCATCTCTGTGGCAGTAACGAGTCATTCAAATTGCCTTATTGGACCAGCCTCTCAATATTATAAGCTCTTATGTAGTGTTTGTCCTGCTCGACCTCCCCTTCTTCTAGTTACGTATCAGTAAACCGTCAAAAGCCAGTGACACTGAGGAAGATGAATTCGATGACAGCGATGAGGAAAAGCAGCCCGATAAAAGCTTCGACGGGGACATGGATGCAGAAGAGGACGATTGCCCAAATGGAGAGTCAGATGTGCGGTTTGGAGTCACACCATTTCTGAGTGGAGTGTTACCTGCTGGCAGACTGAAGGCCAGGACCAAACCCGTTGGCTGCCAAGCTTATGGACTAATACAGGTCAGTCTGAAGGGAATACCATTTATTTATAACACTATTGGGGCTGGGTATATTTCTATGGTTTTGCCTGCCGCCAAAAAGTGCAAGCATCCTTTAACCCCGCCTCCCATCCCTCTGTCCAGCCTCTCGGGCTCATTCATGAACGGGAAGTTGATTCACCCAAAAACAAATCCATCCACTGAGATACAGTCTTCTCTTTTCCAATGTATGTCGATGTTAAAAAGTATTTTTGGGGCCCCATGGCAGCGCTTGACGGGTTTGGCCACGATATAAAGTATATATGGTTTACCTTGTAATACATGACTTGCACTCATAGTCTTTAGGGGGGAAATGCTGATGTCTTTGTCAACTAGTACTGTCATTGTATTTCTTGCTTTGCAGGTAAATGGTAAATCCTACAATCAGGCCAGGCTGTTGCTGGGGAACATGGGATCTCTACATCCAGCCAACCGCCTCGCAGCATTCATCACAGGCCGACTGCATCCTCCCGGCGGCATTTCTCTTAAAGTCTCTCGGAAATCCGACCCTACTAACAAAATCCCCACTCCTGATGCTCCGCACATAAAGGCTGCTGGCACAGTGGTCCCTCCAGTTCCAACTGCAAGGAAAACCGCTGATCTGAAGCCACCGACACAGCCCCCGGGTAAACTCGTCTCTCTGTTCCTGCACTCCGGCACTAACACCGTAGCTTGAAACTGATTACTCTCCCCTCCTTTTGTGAAGCAATCAACTCGAGAACCCTCCAACACAGACATACCTACAGCTACTGCTGAACATTGAAACCATCCAAGCAAATCAAACCACCACCACCTAAATACGTGTGCTCAGAAATCTAGATTCTAACGGATAAATAATACCAGGACCGTAACAGTGAGGAGGAGGGAAGACGATACTCACAAACTTGTGTCTATGTTGCGCTCAGAAGCCCTAATCTTGCTCTCTTTCAGTAGTTACTGGTATAAACACAAAGACTGAGCTGTATCAACATCAGGTCAAACAGTGCTAATACCCCTAATGTCATATTAATTAATTAACGGAAACATGCTTAGGATTAAACTACTTTAAATGTCTAAATATATCAAAATCAAGCCGGTATGTTGAAGTAGGATTGTTGCCTCTTTGTCTCACCACCCTGCGTTGTTTTGTTTCTGCAGTTCAGATATTCCTGCCAGACGTTTGGATGAAGGGATCCATCGACGACTCCACCGTCGACCCTTTTGCCTCGGGCATACGCAGCTCGGTCAGGCCCTTCCAGAACAGCTCCACGTCCTCGCCCGTCTCTCTCACCGTATCCCCGGCTCTGAAAACCCCCAGCTTCTTAGGACAGAGCGGCACCTACTCATTCAGGATCTGCCCTCCGGCTAACCAGGGCACCAGAGACCAGAATTTGCCAGGCATTACCCTGCCCGGGGGCTTCACCCTCATTGAGCTCCCAAAGCATGGAGCCGATGGAGCCGCCTCAGAAGCTGTGAACACTACAAACATGCCTGCTGTGGATAAAGCCCAGCCACAAAAAGATGCCGTGGTTAATTTTGGCCACTCGGCAGCTGATTCAGATGCAAAGTGCCTTGGATTGAAGACTTGTGCTGCAGCTAAGGACCTACCCAGCAGCACATCAGTGCAGCCTGGACCCTCCCCTGAGCTGCTGTGTGATGTGAAGATACCATCACAAGAGAATGATGAAACCAACAGCAGGCAGGTGGAATCAAATCCGGACATCGCTTCAGAGGACTTGAGCTCCGACTCCGACTCCGACTCCTCAGACTACTGTGGAGAGGTTGACGAAGATGTAAATGTGAGGATTAAGAAATGTCTTTTGTTTCTTGTTCTAAAATGACAATGCAAAACAAATCTGCATATCTACTCCTGTGACTGTTGTAGTTATTGTGTCAGATTTTAAAACGGCATGTTTTTTCAGGATGAGGTGGTGGACATCGAGACCGTAGAAGAAGTAAGACAAGGAGTGGCCATCGCTCAAATGAAAGAAGTTGTCCCCACGGCACTAAAGGAGCCTGGGTAATACATGTCAACGAAATACACCATGTGTGGTCCTGTGCGTATTTTTTGCCAATGCATGAATTCTGTCCCTCCAAAGTGTTGTTTGATTCTTCTCTCCGCTCAGAGATTCCAGCGACGGTTTGGGATCAACAAAGGAACTCAACGTCCAGGTACAACACAGACAGATATTCGGTTTAGGATAAATATACGTGCATGTACACCTGCAGCATCTATCGTTTATATTCTGACACATGGTGCTAATAGCATCTGCCTTTGTGCTTGTGAATATAAAGTGTAAGAGAGAGTAGTGTCGCTATTATTTGCATTTAATATCGTCTCTATTCCAGGATAAAACAGAGGATTGTAAGGATAATAGGAGGCGGAAGAACCACACGGTGCTAGAAAGGCAAAGACGCTGTGAACAGCGGACCCTCTTTGACAAACTCCAGGCTGTCCTGACGAAAGACGCCCGGGCCCCCCGGCTCCACGTCCTCTCAATGGTCAGTACCACAGCTATGACGGGCCAGAAATTACAAGGAAAAACTGTTTCCTCTTTAATGGTGTATTCCTACAAGTATCCAAACACGATTGGTTCACAAAAATAGACGAGGTCACTTTGTTCTAATTCACACCAGTGAGAAGAGCTCAGGTGAAACAAAAAACACAGAAATCGATCGTGTGAAATAACCAAAACAGTTTGAACTTTGGCAGAACATTATGAGTTCATGAAGAACCCTTTCAGGGCCTTTTTAAATAATTATGACTGTAGTGAACATTGCCAGAAAATGTAATTTCTGCTACCCCAAGTTCATTAGTTTAAGTTGACATTAACGTTTGCAAAACAAATCAGCAGTAAACATTTGAACTTGTTTGAGACAGGTTTGATTTACCACTTCTACACATGCTCTACATGCATACTTGACTAATCTCACTTTAACCCTACTCCCAAAAAAACACACTGTTTTAACAAATCTACTCGCATGAACTGTGATTGACGGAGTAATTGAGTGCCCTCTAATGTCCACATCAAGTGTTGTAATTCTTTCTATACAACGTATTGTTCCACCAATTAGCATCAAAAAAGAATGAAGAGTAACTGTTCACAACAAAGAAGGTCCAAATCCATGTATGCATGAGATGTGTGTGAGGCTGCCGACAGATAAATAATTTAGAACGATACAAGTTTAACAAAAGAGCTCCGGCTCCCGGTCTTCACTCGTGTCTTCTCTGTTGTGTCGTGTTTGCAGGCCCTGGACGAAATCCAAAAGCTGGTTGCGACGTCCAGGTGTCTGGAGGAGAAGAAGAGGAGGCTGACTCGGATGCAGTCCCTCTATGTGAAGGAGCTTTCCCTTTTGTCTGGTATGCACAGTTTGTTGTTTCTGTTGTTCTTGAGTCTCGCTTCGTGCTGATTCATCAACTATTCAAATGGAAATCTGTCGTAGAGAATTAGTTGAAGCTCGTTATCCAGAACAAAAGGTACTCGTGTGAAACATCTTGTACTTGACATGATGGTGGTTAGATATCTACTGCAAAGTCTTTATCTGATGATCACGAATGAGAAGCACAACACAGTTGTTTCTGTGAATAACAGCAATTTCCATTGCTCATGTCTGGATGTCCAGAATATGTGATAGCAGTAAGGCTGACCCGGCCTGAACCTTTTTTTTTTTTTTTTTGGTGACTTGTGTCTTATGAGATTCCCTTTTTATTTTTTTAAGGAAAGTCGAACATGCTGATTAAAAACAAGCTGAAGGAGATCTGCGAGAGGCAGAAAGTGAAAGAAAAGACTCAATGGAAGCCTTTCTTCTCCAATCTGCTCCAGTCCAGAGCCGCTCTCCTACAGTCCACTGCTCCTCCATCTCAGCTGCCGCCCAGACCCCTGTTAATGCCGGACTTCTTCAGGGCTCCATCTCAGGCTAAACCAACCACGAATGCAGCCCAAAAGCAGCTGATGTCCCTGCTTCAGTCCAACCTAAAAAGGGCTCTTACCCAGTCCAGTACACAGCCACCCAAGCCCCCATCAGCGTCCTCTGCAGCCCGGGTCGAGGTCCCTGCGCCCCCACCACAAGGCGGTCAACATCAGAAGAAGTCCGAGGAGCAACAGGAGAAACCCGGCGCCCCGGCACAGGTCAGTGTGCCCATCCCCCAACCGGAGTGCTCTGCCGCGGCTACACCTCTGGTCACTGCCGCCCAGGACGGAGCCTCGTCTTCATCCACAACACCCACTTCCAGCACGCCGCCCGTTAAACCCGCGCCGTCCTTTTCTCTTCCTCTGATTCGGGCCAAAAACGGCAGAATCATACTTCCCTCATCTCTGAAACCACGTAAGTTAAGACATCCCGCTCTGGCCGTGAGTCAAATGATCTTTATTTATGTGTAATTATATTTTCTTACGTGTGTATTTTCCCCCTCTTCTCACAGTTGGTCATGGCTTCTATACACTCACGGTTATGGAACCCAGGCAGACAGGACAGGAGGATGAAGTTAGCTCTCCAGCTAATAAGAAACCTTTTGATGTGGAATCATTGGTGAAAGGAGACATGGGCAGTTCTGAACTTGACCGCCTTGTAGATGTAGGAAGCAATCATATTTTGGAGAAAGAGAAAACTGTACCAGCGTCACAGTCCAACCCAAAGCGTTCAGGTGTAGCGACCCCCGTGGCTGAGCTTGCCCTCCTTAACAAATCAATCCTCATGCCTTCGGTGGCTCTGCAAGCTGCGAAGAGCGGCGAGGAGGGGGGCACAGCGGTGGGTTTGAACAAAACTCCGTCAACTGCCTGCTTGAGTTTTAATCGTGTGAAACACGTTCCTGCTTCTGCCAAGCCTGCTCCCAGACCCCCTGTAGTCAGCCGCTGCAGAGGCAGGCCCCGAAAGCCCCCCGTCACCCCTGTTGGTACGAGTACAAAACATACGGGGGTAAAAGACAGCAGTAAAAGGGAAACCTCTCTTCTGGTCGAAGAGAGACAAAACGAAAAACTGACTTCGAAGGTGACCAAGACACGAGCTGGGGGCTCCCCAGGAACGGCCGGTGACAGCCCCGTGCCAGTGAAACGAGGCAAAGGAAGGCCCCCGAAGAAGAAGACTGCACCGCTGTGGAGTCCTCCGGTTGCGCAAGCAGGAAGTATTCCATCCAACTCCACGGAGGACAGCCCCGTCCGACTTTCTCGCAGTTCTAAAAGCCCCGATTCCAAACCCAAGGAAGGTCCCGCAAAGACCCCGTCGCTTAGAAATGTCAACGCATCTCGGCCACTAACCCGAGGCGCTTTAGGAAAGGACTTCCCCAGTGCAAAGAAGCGCTCCTGGATAGATGTAGAAAAGGAACTGGAACCAGAGCTTGAATCTGAGGCCGAATCTGAGTCTGAATAGTCATCATATCTTCCTGTAGCTGCAGAACGCACACACACACACACACACACAGTAGTCAGACCTCCGTTCGTCTCAGAGCTGCTCCTTTCTGTACGTGTTGGCACAAAACTCAGTGGACCTTTTTTCATACTAGAGAGAGGAGTTTTTGGGTATAAAGACTATAAGAGAAAGCATTAATTGACCTGCTGAATGTATGAACGATGATAATAAACTCCCACATTCAGCTTTGATATGTTTTCTAAGATACATTTGTCACCTACTTAATTGTTCACTTTTCGCCAGAAATGGCAAATAGAGATTTATTCAAATCATGATTTTTGTTGAAGTCCTTTGTTACTGATCTTTCCTATGCAAATAGAAATATCACTACAGGTTACAGTTCCAATACTGCTTCATTAACTCATGTTAACCTATGTCGTTTCTTACCGAGAGCTAGTTTGATGCCTGTATCCCTTTTTGAAAGTTTTCCGTTATTAACTCAGTGGAAATCATATGTAGTAGCACTTTATGTTTGTTGGTAGAAAGCACCCATGATCTCGTTGCTGTAGTGTGTGTATAGTATTGGTCTGTGTTCTGGGGAGTGAGCTCAGTAACATGCACATAAACCTGATGTGTCAGAAGCAATCAAGAAATAAAGCTATTAGCCATATATTGTATCTATGAAAATAACCTTCTGTAAATATTGTATTCTTTTTTTTTTTTTTTTAATCGCAATATACATTTACTTTGTGGATGATTTTGAAACACTGGTTGTTACTTCTGTTCAATTGAAAATGTGAAAAATAATGTGGCCTTTAAAATCAATAAAAACGACATGCATTTATTACGGCGCTTCTGTATTCATTCCTTGTTTTTTTTTTAAATGGAAGAAACATTTGTCTAGAAGATAACTTGTACCTTGAAGTGCATTACCCAATTGTTTAAACAACAGCAGCAATAGGGGCCTCTCACGAGGGCAGATCATACTCAATAGAACAAATCAGTACGCCTAATCACCTGGTCATGATAACACACCTCGGCAAACTGTCCTGTCAGCAGTTAAAGCAGACGTGTCTGCTGTGATCGATTTCTGAAGGAAACGAGGGTGAAGAGCAATGACGTCTCGAGCTTATTCTCAGTGTTATTTTCAGTGCAGCTTCGGTGTTCTTACTAATAACTGCAACGTTACTATTGATCAGTGTTTCCTAAATGTTTTTTTCTGGGCAGCCACTTTATAAGAATGACAAACAATCGCGACCCAATTAACAACAGGTCTTTTACGGTCACTGACAATTTTTACTGCCATTTCCACATCACCTTATATTCATCTTGTTATGCGTAGCGATACGTTTGGATGTATCAAAACGTCATTATATGCATGTGTTATTGAAAACATATACACATGTTAAGTACTTTATAAAAGAGACCAAATCAATACATTTAGGCGGAGTTAACAATCTATCTCAGAATAACAATATGCGCTCCAAAATGTATTTGGTGACCCTCGTAAAATCTCCTTCAATCCACCTGTGGGTCCCAAACTGGTCTTTGGGAATAACTGCTTTTAAGGATTATTTATTTGTAAAAAAAACAACTATATATAAATATATATTTTTAAATATACATGATTTTATATATTATTTACTTTACAAAGAAAGAATAAAATCTGCAGTCCTTGTGCAAACATATATCCCAAAGTTTAATAGTGATTAGCTGTATTACATATATAGGGAGTTCTCTACAGTGATTGTCATTGGTCTAGCGTCAATGGGGGGCGTGGTCTGTTTTTTACAGGAAGCCTAATCAGGGACAGCACGTGCTTCTTTTCAATGCAAATAATATTTTACATGTCAAACTCAGACTTAAAATAATGTTATAACCTGACTTTAGATTGTGTTAGATAAAGTAGGACAGTGCGAAACACTATGTTTGGAAACAAACAGCATCTGATTGGTTGATGTAATGATTCATTACCTCAAACAAAAAGAAGACTGACTTTAAGTTCAGACAATTTGCACATAGTCTAAAAGAACAATTTGTACTATTATGCATTTAAAAGATACGTTTTTATCGTCCAATCAGCAGCCCAAACAAAATATTGTGACCCAAATACCCGCCATGCAGCTTTAAGACTGCCTGCGGTCTCTCTTCTGTAATCCTATTAAATCACTGAGGTACACAACAGCAACAAAAGCAATCATTGACGTAATCACGAGACCCGGTGCAGGTTGAGATCCATCTAATGATGGCATGCAGGCCACCCCCACTCCCCACCCCCCCACCCCTCCTCTGTCTGTGCAAACCTCAGCCATGGGACAAGTTGACATCAGTCCAGAAGTGGTGGGAGGCTGCAGGAGGAGCGCTTGAGACAGCAGACGGAGGACAGTAAACCCACTCAAGAGATTAACGTCCACATATCCCGGCAGCAGGAACACTGTCCGACTTTGTTAAACCTCCATAGTTTGCGTTGCGGTGGGAGGAGCGTTTGCAGGCTCCTCATTCACCTCTGCAGCACCCCCCCCCCCACTGCATTCATTCGCAGTCAGCAGTTCTGCGAGCGGTGACCACCAGACAAGATGCCCGGCGATGGGTTCACGATCAAAAGTCGCATCAGGAATTTGCTGCGTTCCCCATCAATCAAGCACAAGAAGAACAGCAAAGAGAGTCTCTCCAGCAAGGTATTTAACCACATGCACCCCCCTTTAAACTTAGAACAGGTTAAGTGTGTGAGTAAACAAACAAACAGCAGTCACGTAATGCTGTTTTTCTTCTACTTGTTGTAGCCTTAGATATTGATTATCGATCCAAACATCATAAGAAACAGGTAGAAAATGCAACATTTACCAGAAGAGCAACACTCTAAACTGCCATTAAAGAGGAGAAGTTACCACCTTCTATTAAGAAACCCTTTATAAAGTGTTAATAAGTTGCAATTAATGTGTTAATAGCGTGAATAAAGCATTTATTTACTAATAACTTTTGGGCAGCCGGAAAATTATTTTGTGTAGTTAAGACTGTTTGCACCAAAAGTCTATTTATTAACAACTTTATAGAGCTTTTATTAATGATAATTAACATATACAACTGCATTATTACCAAATATATATTATAAACACTAGCTAAATTGATTTTTCACAACTTGGAAACTTGGAATTTGCTCTAATTTATAGTTTTATCTCATCTATGTCGACGAGCAAATGAATTATTGAACATCAATGAAGTCATTGGTTCAAACTTTTTATAAAAGGGGTCTTTTCATAAAGTGATAGTCTTTCATGACACTAATTAGAAAACGTTAAGCTTAAAGGAGTTTCATCATCAGTGTGCTTTATATTATTCACTATTAATATTTCATAGACACCACAGACTCAGGTGCATTTATGTTACTCCAGACTAATTAATAATCTGACAGACAGACAGACAGACAGACCGCATGTCTTGTCACATCTTCTGTTTGATGACTAGATCTTTTACTTCTGTTTTTACATCTCTTACACCCAAAACATTAAATAATAATATTATCTATAACAGATTTCAAGCTTATGGTCGGCTGAACCTCTGCTGTGTGTGTGAACCTCCTCAATGTCAGACACAATAGTTTGTCACAGAGAAAGCAAGTACACGTAGAACAAATCCAAAGTTTCAGCGCAGGCATGCACACACTAATTAATCAATATGTGTTTGGATTATCACAGCGAGATGCAATAAAATGATCGATCAAAGTTTTGTAAGTAAGATTACAGAAGGCATGTGTTCACTGTTCACTAGAATGTGTATTCACAAATACTTGAAAGATCTTCTTTCAGCGAACACACAGTATCTCCTTCATTATGCATTCAGATATCGCCCCAAATATTCCTCCAACTGATTCCATTAAAACTCCAGACAATCCTTTTGTTCTTGCTAGTGGATGCATTTTATGGAAGTGTTCGTCGGAGGAACCCATAACACCACACAGTGGAGAATGTGTTTGTGCCTCTCGACGCTCTCAGATTTGATTCAGTAGAGAAACCTTTTCATTTTTATTAAGTTTGTGGATTCATTTTACAATGCAACACCCTGAAAAACAAATGTCAATATATATAAATATGTATAATGAATTCTTAGTCGTCACATTCCATGGAGATCATTGATTTTAAATCTTAAAAGTGACGTGAATGTCAGTGTTTTCAAAATGTAACAGCAGAATTAAAGAGGACACCTAAGTTGATCCTTAGCTATCGTCCTCACATGTTGCAACCAAACCAATCTATTCCTGTCTTTGATTCATTAACAGGGTGCTTAGTTACATCCCTGCATGCCTTGAGTCCAGTATTTATCCCTCTGTCAAACAGCTCTGCTTTCACTTCTCTCTGTGATTAAATCCTAAAAAACAAACCCCACTGTGTGTCTCTACAGGTGACTTTGGAGAAGGTGCTTGGAATCACAGCGTCAGGAAACAGTGGGCTGGCTTGTGACCCCCGATCTGGACTAGTCGCCTATCCTGCAGGGTAAGAGGAGAGAGAGAGAGAGAGAGAGAGAGAGAGAGAGAGAGAGAGAGACCACGTCTGCATCCTTATCCCAACATCTGACCTTTGCCTTATCAACGCTCCATGCTTCCCCTTCCCCTGTCATATCTCCCTCACGCAGACGTTTAGTGTGCAGATTTGCATGTGTGTGTGTGTGTGTGTGTGTTATCGCTGCACTATCTTAGAGGAGCGGAGGAGGAGAGCTCTGTGGGCTTTCTCATCAGAGAAACTCCAAAGCTCCTTTTTATCCTGTCCCCGGGGAGGCTTCCTTTGACTCTCTCAGTGATGTAAAGAGCGTTGTGTGGTATTGTTAATTCTGTGCCAACAGTGACTCTGGCTGTGTTAACTTAGCTCAGTGCAGAATAAGAGAAATGTGAGCTGCAGGTTGGAGGATTTAGATCCAGAGCTGCTGCACCACCAGGGTGAGAACTGACTGTACGAACAGAAACAGTGCACTGAGCCTCTTTTGTTTTGTTCTCAAATCTTCTGACAAAGCTGTATTAATACTAAGAAGGTCAATGGCTGTTTACTGTATTGTTGTGTCACGGAGTGCATGTTCGTGAATGTGTCTGAACGTGGCCTTGTGTGTGTGTGTGTGGTTCTGACTGAGATTTTAGAAAGCCATAGCCTACTTCCCAAATTGTGCTCAGTCTGGCAACCCACCTGCTTTCTCAGTTTAAATCTGCACAAGCTGTGGCACCAGGAATGCAGTTTCCAGCTGCTCTCAAACAAGTTGTGAAGAGGAAGTTGTATTTGTAGGAAACAATACGGTGATGGCCGGAGTATTTAAATATGGAAAATAATAATGAATTAAAAAGGGGATGAACCGTAAGAGGCAGGCTAAATAACAAAAACACATAATGAAGCAAGACTTTTACTTTGAAGCCTTTAAATCCACCAGTGCAAACACTGATACAAAGTTAGGTTAATGTTTGTATGATTAGCTTAGCTTTAGCTTTAAACACTGTAAACAAGGGGACACAGCTAGCTTGTCTTTGTGCGAAAGTAGTTTACAAACGTCACCTACCAGGACCTCTAAAGCTAATAAATGAACTGGTTGTTACCAATTTCTTTAATTGTGCAGTGTCATGTGAATTATGTTAACTCGCTTTAGACGGAACCAGGCTAGCTGTTTCCAGTCTTTATGCTAGCTAAGCTAACCGGCTATAGCTTCAAATTTAGCTCGCGCAGATATGTCCATACCCATCTATGCTAACTGTCTGAGAGAAAGCGTAGCCAGTGTATCTCCCAAAATACCAAACTGTTCCTTGAATGTTGACTAATTTAACAATTTCATTGTCAAATGTGGTCGCACACAGTT